CTTTGGATATAGGTTTTCTCAACTATACATGCAATATTAAATTATCCAAAGCGTGAACCCTAACTAGCATACAACTTTCGAGATTTACAACATAAAACAAGTTAGATGAATACCTCGTTGTTGTAGCTTGTAATCCTTAACCTTCAAGAGCTTAGTACCTTAAATGCGATACCTATAATAAGTCACAAACACCAAAATCAAGTTGGAAGAATATGAGAGAGGTTGGGAGGCACCCAAAATCGGCTAGGGTTTCTCTTAGAAGCATAGGGCCAATTTTAGGAGTGCTAGAGGTTCTATCTATAATGTAGGCTCCTTAGGGTTTTAATCTTGGAAACCCTAATTCACTTGCCTAGGCCTTAAGCAATCTAATAACCATTATGATAGGCTTTTGGACGAAATCTTCATGGACCCTCACATAAATTTCATCCATCCTTAATCAAGATGGATCATTAGCCCAAACTATAAATATTACTGATTTACCTAACCAGCCCCCGTTAATTTAATCAATCTCTTTTGATAGCTAAATTGATTCCAAATTAATTCTCGATCAATAATGATTAAATAATATGATTTCTCAATTAATATATTATTCTTATAATATATTAATAAATCACAATTAACCTCTTTCTCAAATATCCATCCTATCAAATTGCTATGGTGAAGGCAACCCAAAAGGACCATGCTACTATTGGGTTAAATACATACCAATTATAGTTATGAGCTTAGACACCTAATCCAACAATTATTGGCCATCAGAGTTCGGGTGTTGGACTAAAAAGAATAGTTGGGCCTTAAGGCAAGGCCATGTAAGGGGTTTGTGCCCAATATGGAAAATTGGGCCAATGGTTGATTTGTGGGCCTTTAGGCCTTTTAGATTGTAGTCGGGTCATAAATTTGGACAAGGATATGTTAGGGGTAAAACAATCCTTTTACACCAGGCATGGAGTTGTAATTATGGATTGGAGCCCAATTGTTAATTGGGTGTATTGTTGGTATTGATAGTTCGGGAAGCCGCCAGGGCAGCAACGAGGGATTCTTTCAGTCAACTTCTTAAGTGTGAGGTGAGTCTTCTCACTATATCTATGGGTCGAAGGCACCAATGCCGACCCATTATATGTTATGCTGCATGTTATTTGTTTCCGTGTTATGTGGCATGCTAGTTGTCTATGTGATAATTTCATGGAAGACCCCGGGGGGAGCCCGTGACACTTGGATATCAGACCATGTGGGGGAGCCCATGGCATTCCAGGTCAAGACCATGTGGGGGAGCTCATGGCAACTGTATGTGTGTTGTATGTTATATGGTATTTTGGGGAACTCACTAAGCTTTGTACTTACTGTTTTCAGTTTTATTTCAGGTAATTCAGTTTCCAAATGAAAGAGCTCGGGACGATCGCAACACATACACCCATGTTTTCGCAATATGTGATCTTGGGGATTTGACTCTGATAATTGTTTTATTTTGGGTGATTTTTAATGCTTTGAACGAAATTATAATATTGTTTTGAGTATAATAAAAATGAAATTTTTACCTTGGATTTTTGAGATGTTACAGTTATTCTTAAAGCACATAAATGTATAGAAATAAGCTTTTGCCAAAATGCTACTTACATATAATCTCAAGAAGGAAAGAACAATTTCTCATAATCTTTCAAAAATAGATATCAATGAATTGGTTAATAATATTATCTTAACTGGTTCTGAGGAGATTAGATCATTCGTTGACATGATATTTTCACATCAAGTTTATGTATAGGAAACAATTGTAGTTTTGTGATCATCATTTGTTATAGTAGTAAGTACTTGATCCATTCAAGAGCTAGAGTTGTCATGTGGTATTCTACCATTCTTCACTGTAAGTGACTTTTACATAGTGTACAAGGGTAAAAGAGTCTAAGAAAAGTGGTGAATGAGATATTGATTAAGTTAACCATTTTGAGAGAGTCCTACAAAAGAAGATATCATTTAATTTTCTTTTGTTTTTATAAGTTCTCTATTATTCATATTGTTAGGTTTTATAATATTGTTACTTTAATTTGGTTACAGGAAGGGAGATTTGATTTATATATGACATATATTATTGAGAATATAATTACTATAGGATTTCCTGTTGGTTATGAGCTCTGGATTGTTTAGATAATAAATAGTTTGAGGTAATAGACTTTTCATTATTATCAAGTTAAATGGCATTAACATAAATAATGAAATAGTTTTGTTGATACTGTTTGAAATTTGGTGTAGGGGTTTTATCATAACCTCATGGAGGAAGTAATTAGGTTTTTAAAAACATATCACAAGGTAAGAACGGTTTTTTATATTAATATTCCAATTTTATGTTTCATATCAAGTACATTAGCTTAATTTTTTATAATTTGTTGATGTCAAGATAAGTACAAGGTGTAATCTTTGCTCCGAGGGGCTATAATGCTAAATGATGTATTATTGGTTGAAAGGAAGGTTAGTCAAACAAGTCAACCCTACTTTAAAAAAAAATCATGATATTCTTTCTGTAGAATTTAAGTTGGAATGAAAAAGAGCATTACAAAAGATTTGTTTATATGTAAATTATTTAATGTTATATCTTAATGTGATTAAACTTTTATTTTAATAAACTAACATTTCTTTCTTTATTTATCAACTTAAATCACTTTTGGTTTCCAATTATACATAACAAACAACATGTTGGAATAATTTCATTCCTGTAACCATACCAAACATTATAATTGAAAGTAATCACTCATTCCATTCCTACCATTTTCTCAACTATTGCTATCTCATACACCTTTAAACTCTTTGCAGGTTGTCTACTGCAAGGCCAGAATGGCAAGAATATATCTCGAGGTAACATCAACTGTTCAATTTACTAATCTACCCCTGATATAGTTATAGCATTGTACTTTCAGTTTTTATCTTATTAAGACATTATACATTGAAATGACTACATAAACTTGTTCTGTATTGCTATAAATCGGTAGATTTCATTAAAGTAGGATATGCCATAAAATATAAATATAATAAACAAATGTATGAATGTTTATTGCTATTTCTTGCATTTATTTAATCATTTCTAATAGTATACCATTCTTGGAGACTGTGGTATAGATTTCTCTTTCAAGTCTATTATATATACCTTTTTTTACAACCTATTTCTTTCCAATTACTAAATTTTCAATTTGAAGTTGACCCAATACATACAATTGGATCTGAGATCATGTCAGTATTCACCAAATATAGTGTTATGGAATATATTATATTTGTTTTTTTTTTGGTACACAAATTGCTGGAAGATTTAATTGTTGTTTTATTGAAGATACTAAGGAGGAGAATGTCGCAAAAATATTTATAAATCTTGAATAGATAATGTGATTGGTTTCTCACGTTTAGGTTCTCACTTGAAACTATTTATTTAAATGATGTGTTTTTGCAATAAAAATAAATTGTATATATTGTGAGTTCCTTTAAATTTTTGAACAATTTATGTTTATCATTTGACAAGATATATTTTGATAAATGAATTATAGTATATCTTACATTGACTAAGTTCTAGGCTAATTACTTAAAATGAATTAAATATAAGAAATAACAATCAAAATGAGTGACAAATTTTTATGGTCATAAATTAGATAAAATAGTGATGATTTTTTATGGTGGCTGTTGGGTAAATTGGTGACTACACTAATTGGATGAAACAGACCAGATAAGGATATATTAAAATACATTGAATATGATAATAAATTAAATGAATATGACAAAATTTTTAATAAATTAAAATACATTGAATATGATATTAAAAAATTCTTAATATTTAAACTTTTATATGTTTTTTTAATCAACCCGTGTAATACACGGGTTTCACACCTAATTAGATAATGAAAACGAAGCAACAACAAGCTCATTGGTGTGACACCATGTTACAGATTGAAATGAAGAAATGAATTTCTAAATTGAAATGATCTTCATTTATACAAAGAAGAAAATGTAAGGAGCGTCTAATTAACTTAACCACATGGACATATATTTACATACTGACCCTTCTACTTTTTATTAAAATTTTAAATTGTCCCTAATAGTTCTAAAATGATGTTGCCTCCAAAACATGCTTGAAGGTTCTTATTGGAACCTGTTTTAGATTCTTGCTATAGTAGTTGTGTTTTATTTAAAACGTTGCAGTTAAAAATAAGACACTGACAATAAGTTATAGCAAATTGGGTTTAGACAATTTGAAATTAAATCGCTTCAGTTGTACATTCGAGAAAAGTGTTGCAAAGTTTCTCTGCATTGTGGTCAGCAGAAGGGTCTTGAACTTTATACATGAGCTTAAGTCGGATTCCTAGTTTGGTTTTTGGTTAGAGTTTTTTACTTTTTAGTTTTAAACTTTAACAATGAAATCCTTGAAAAGTTTGCTCTTTTGCTTTTGAATCTAAAAAAATTTAATATACATATATATATTTCCAAAATAATCTTACATTTACTTATTTTGACATAATTATAGAAGTTAATACAATAAAACCAAGGTGAAAAAGGGTCATAAATCTTTTTAACCCTTTGTACACAATACTAATCGACTACAATTATATGCCAATGGACTCAAACATTAACAAACAGCTTTAGAACAATAATAATAGATTAAACGTAATAATTTGGCTAACACAAAGAGGGTAGCCTTTCCTCTACATCTTCACTCGACACCTTTAACCAAAAGAGAAAATAAAAATTAGAAGCTGGATGTTCTGAAAATCATGTTAAAAGTATTTTCAGAATACACCCTATACTTACCGAAACCGAACTAATATTCATCCTAAGAAGGGCCAGCCAAAAAAAGTTGTATTAAACTCCATTGACCTTTATATGCCACTTTCAGGTATATATATATATATATTATATATATATATATATATATATATATATATATATATATATATATATATATATATATATATATATTTCTAGACTCTGGTTGACTTTAAAAAATCAAAAGAGAGGGAAGATCTCTGTTATGATCAAACTTCACCTTTCACCACACAATACGAACCAATTGCAAACGACTCACTTTTAGTCTTTTCAATTTTCCCAATACCACGAAGACGACGGCCGAGACGGCATAATTGCAACAGCTCCACCACCGCAGCATCGATCTCCTCCTCCCCTTTAAGCCTCAAATCAACACTAATCTTTTTGGATTTTTCTCTCACCACCTTCCCTAACTTACTCACCACCACATGCCGCACAACACCCGCCATCTTCTCCCGCTCGAGTCGCCCGTTTCCGTCCCTCACCACTTCAACTCCAACCCCAACCTCCGCCACCAACCGAGCGTTGACCGGCTGGTCAAGGTGCATTGGCATGGCTATTATTGGAACGCCAAATTTCATAGCTTCCATTGTCGAACTCCATCCACAATGACTCACAAATCCACCAATATTTTTGTGGCATAATATTTTGGCTTGTGGTGCCCACCCTTCAATCACTAAACCCCTATCCTTTACCCTTTCAAGAAACCCTAATGGCAAAGCTTCTGAAAGGCTAAGCTTTTTTTCCACTTTCGGGAACCTTAGAACCCAAATGAAATTCACATTGCTCATTTCTAAACCGAATGCAATTTCTTTCAAATCATCTTCAGAAAGAAAATATTCACTCCCAAAAGAAACAAAAACAGTAGATCCAATGGCTTTTGTGTCAAGCCACTGCATCACACTATTTTCCTTCACGTTCACAGAAGGAGGTGGCTCAACCACAAGTGGACCTACAGGGACAATCTTTTTATCAGTAAGAAGAGAGAGGTAGTCACTGTATTTACCTTCAATCTCTCTGAAAGATTTAACAAGCACGATACTTGAAGATAGACCGACACACTCCATAACACGATCTTTATCTTTACGATTATTTGCTGAGCTTTCAAGAATCTCCGACACGTGAGAATACTCATTTTTTCGAAAATAGATATCCGAGAATGGAAATGGAATACCACTGGAGCTCTTCAAGTAAAGATGAAACATGGTAGAAGCCATGGTGACACTTGTGGTGATGAACACCACAGACGGGATTGAAAGGGCGGAAGCCGCCACCGGAGCCCAATGTTGAATAAGATCGTAAATGAGCAAATCGGGTTGTAGGGTTTTCAAGATACCTGAAAACTCATCACTTGCCATGTCGAAAGCTTTCTTCAGAACAGGCATAAGATGCGGTGGGAGGCCATTGGTGGTGTGAAGATCTGATGGAAGCTCGGGTAGCTCCGGAAGGTGAAGCTTTATTTGATGAATTGCAGGTGATTTCTTGATAGACTTGAGATTTGCAGGAGTCGAACAAAGGTAGATGTCAAAGAGATTGGTTTTGCTTAGTTTTTTTGCTAGTTCTAGGAAAGGAGAAATGTGACCATGGCCTAACCATGGGAACATCAAAACGGTTTGCTTTCGTCCATATCTGTTCATCGTCATTGTTGTGTGATTGAGATGAAATGCTTCTGATATCGAAGGTGGAATTTGTTTTACAGATTGTCTGTGGAGAACACGATGCGTTAATTATATAGACAAAGTTATGATGGAAACTGCTTAAAATACGTAGGGGAAAATCTGTTTACAGATTTGCATGTAATCGTTTCTATTTTACGTGCATGATTCAGCTTTGGCGTATCTTTTTAAAACATAAAAGATATATATATATATATATATATATATATATATATATATATATATATATATATATATATATATATATTGATCGGCGTTTTATTTTATAATTAAATTACACAACGATATCTTAAAAAAATTAAAATGCAATGAATTTGAATTGGTAATAGAATATATATCTTTTTATTAAAATCGATTCTTACTTTGTTTGAGTAAAATCGATTATTTTTAAATGGGTAATAGAATCTATATATTTTTAATTAAGTCCATAATTTAATGTTTATCACCCCAAAAAGGTAATAAATCTCGATTTATAAAAAAGGACTCGAGAAATCTAAAATCTATTCTTATTATGGTCTAAGATAATAACGGTTTAACTAGTTATGGAAGATATCAACTGTTCCAAAAATAAAAGTTTTCCATATTATATTATATATATTGACAATGAGAAATTAAATATAATCCTAATTTTTCTTCCTACAAATTCTCCTACCCAATTAAATATTGACATGTGTAACATTTAATGTTAATTTAATAAATTTAAATGATATTTTAGTAAACTAATATGACACATGTCATCATTTAATTTGGTAGGAGTATTTGTAGGAATAAAAGTAGGAGGATATTTAATTTCTCATTGAGAATATGTAATATTTACGTGCATGACTCACTTGGTAATATGTAGTATTTAGTTTTTTTTTTTTTTTTTTTTTTTTACTTTGGTTTCGAAATTGCCATATGCATGCTAATTTAATATTTAACGTTTGAGAAGAACTTGGTTTATTAAATTAGGCTTAATTGTTTGGACAATACTAAATGTTTGTTTGCCGTTAGATATGTATACATATTTTTTTCTTTTGATGTCACTACAAAAAATATGGACAACTGTATTTCAAAAAATATAATAAAACAAAAATTATAGACAATTGTATTTAAAAAAATATATAATAAAACGAATGGTATAGTTATTAAATTTAATCCATAATTTGATATGTTTATCATCCAAATAGGTTATAAATCTCGATTAATAAAAAAGACAATTGCTTAAAGCTCAAAAATAAAAAATGTTATGGTCTAGGATAAGTAGGAATGAGCAAAAACCGAATCGAAAACCGAAAAACCGATATAACCGAAACCGAAAAACCGAAACCAAACCAATAACCGACGGTTTAGGTTTGAATATTACAAAAACCGAAAAATAACGGTTTGGTTCGGTTTTGACGTCTAAAACCGCCCATAAAAACCGAACCGACCCACATATATATTATTTATATTATGATTTAAACTTTTAGTTTTATAATTTAGACTTTATCTCTTTAATACTTTATGTTTATTTTCAATAAATTGTTAATGGTGTTAAACTTTGATCTTTTAAACACTTTTATGTTTTTATAATACTAGAATTCGTACTTTTTATTTTATTATATTTAAAGTAGATACAATAGTATTTATCGCAACGTATTTTCACTAGGTTTGAACCCAAAATCTAGAAAAAAAAAAACAGGAGCTCATAAATCCACGATTTAAAACCGAAAACCCATAAACCCAACCCGGAAAACCGAAAACCCAAGCAAAAACCGAACCTATATGGGTTTAAAAACCGAAAAACCGACTTTCTACGGTTTGGTTTGGTTTTAGCCAAAACCCGACCCAAACCGACCCATGCTCATCCCTAAGGATAAGAACGGTTATAGAGCTTTGGTTATATTATGAAAATAGCATCTGTTTCAAAAACGCCATATATTCTTATTAATGAAGTATTTATTTTTAGAAAAGATATTCACTATAAATTAGTCTTTGATTTTCCTTGAAAACCGCTTAACATATTTTCTTATGAATAATTTATTATTGACAATGATACATAATTACATATATAGACACAGTAGTTATTATTATTATTATTATTATTATTATTATTATTATTATTATTAAAAAATGAAGCCCTTTTCCGTTTTGTTTGTAAAAACGTTTGGGCTTTGTTTGCAAAAAAGAGGTTGTGGCCCGTTTCCGATTAGTTTGACGTTACGTTAATGGTCCTTGTAACTTTACATTTTTAGCCCCTATATATTTACATCATGGCATGTTACATATTTATTATTTATATTTGGGCAATTACATCAATAGTCCCACGTGCATATGTCAGAAAACGTATTTAATCCCTATTTTCAAAAATTAACTCGAACCGTCCCTCGTTTGCTTAAAACTTGCATGTTTCGTCCCTTAAATGTGTAGTCCATGCCCCATTTGAAATGACTAAAATGCCCTTGGATATTTATTTTTTAATTAATCTAATATTATTTATAACTTAAAAAACAACTCTCTCTAATCTCTATCTCTCTCAGTTACGTTGCAAAATACCACAAGTCCACAACCACCTTCAATCTCTCTCTCTCTCTCTCTCTCTCTCTCATTCTTCTTCAACACATACTCTTCGTTCCCCCAACCCATCTACCTCCTTCACTTCCAAACCCTAACACTAATGTTACTGATCGAAGATAACATAGTAACAAAGAACACACATACACACGTGTCTGATGCGATATCGAGATGGATGGCAAGTGATATGGAGGTGTAGCACGACATAGAGAGAGAAATAGGATGAAGAGACAAACTTGATGAAAATGGCAGTTCCCTCCTTTTTCGTCCTTCTCAAATCCAAAAATTGAAAGTGATGAAGGTTTAGATTTTGATTTTTAGTTTCAGGTTCAGTTTGATTTTATTTCGATGGATTCGTCTTCGACCAGATTTCGATTGTTGTGAGATGTCGTGAACTCGTGAAAGATTAAAATTGTTAGCTTTGATGGTTATCGGGGAAAGGGAATAGGAATCTGTTTGTGGTGACAGGTGGTGGTGCCAAAGGAGTTGGTGCTCACGCTGATATGTGGTGGTGCCGGAGGAGCTGCAGGTTTTCGGCGGCTGTGACGACTCCAACGAGGGATTAAGGTGTAGACCGATGGCCTCATCGGTGGCTTCAGGTCTGCCATCAATGACAAAACCATGGATTTCCTCAAACCATTCTTCTCCTGTCCCGATCTCCACACCCTCCTCATCCGGTCATTGCATCACGAACAGAGCTCGATGGGTTGCGATGGTAGCCTAGTTACTTCACCGGAAAATCGAACCTATTAAGTCACTAATTCACGGGATTTTGATGTTATTCTCTGGCACTCGGAAAAGAAAGTAAGAGAAAGAGTAGATGTGGTTGGTCTCGCCAGAAAAAAGAAGAGGAGGAGGAGTTGCTTAGGTGTTTGTCTAGAGTGAATGACGCAAATGGAAGGGGAATGGTGGGTTGTTGCATATATATATATATATATATATATATATATATATATATATATATATATATATATATATATATATATATATATATATATATAATAAATAAAAATTAAAAAAGAAATTATTAAGGGCAAAATCGTCTTTTTATGTCTAGAGGGATGAGGTGTATAACTTTTAACCAAACGACGGACTGTCCAAGTTATTTTTAAAAAATAGGGACTAAACACGCTTTCTGGTATATGCATGAGGGACGATTGATGTAATTTATCCTTTATATTTAGACAAAACATCATAAATGGTCCATTTGGTTTCCCAAAATATGGGATATAATCTCTAACTTTAAAAACCCTCATAGAAGGTCCATGTGATTTTCAATTTCTATTGTAGTTGGTCCCTCACTCATCTAAAAAGACTTATTTGCCATTTTAAATATATTTTTGATTTCTTTATTTAAAATAATAATAAAAGCCACCCTTTTTTCTTGTCCGAAACCTCCCGTCTCCTTACCCTCGTCAGAGCTTCATGCTCTCACACCAGAAATTGATTCAATTGATTCAAATGATTATGAAAATGCTTCAAGTGATAATTACATTTTGGAACATGTATGGAAACGATTAATGGAGGTGGAAGATCTTGTCGCCATTTTTTCTTATACAAGCTAAGGTTGCCCATAGAACCTCGATTGGTACCATTTTTTACGAAGTATCTAGTCCTGGAAAAGAGTCGAAAGTGGCATTTGAGATAGCGATTCAAAATTTCAACATCAAAACCAATCAGACTTCGATTTTATATCTTCAAAACTCAAGAAACAAGCCTGAACAAGTAACTATTGCATGTGAAATTGAAATATTCTTTAAAAACTACACATTTTCTTTCTGAAATATTAGCAATAAATATTTTAAAGAAGTTTGATTCGGTTGTTTATTGTCTCTCATCTCTCTTAGGCATTTCATCAAACAATTTTTGAGCTAACCCATATCTTACCGCTCACACCTGGTTTATCTTTATTAGATGAAGAGCTTGACGTGCTCACGAAAATAAAACGCCAAGTCTTTTTTATTCATACGTTTGTGGAACTTGGGATTCATCTCTTTCAGACACCCAAGAAGAACGGGATGAAGAGAGACGGGTATATATGGATTGTGACTAATGGAATCATAGATATTTTTCATTCCATTAATTCCACAATGATTACTTCATAAAAGGTATGATTGTATTCTAAAGTTATTTCCCTGAGCAACCATGGTATGCTCAAAGATGTCATAGGAATCTTGCATAAAGTTTAGAGAATCGGATGAGGGTTGGTGTTCTCGGTCGATCTTTGTGTTTGAGAAGATGAGAAAAATGAATCAGCCCTTTTATTATATTTTGTTCAGTGATTCTTATGATGAATTGATCCAACAAATACCTGACAAGGTTAGCAAAAGCGTACACAAAAACAAATAATTATATCAGAAAAATAACATATAATGGGTGGTGTAACGTCCCAAAAATTAAGACTAAAAATTTTTGATTTTTAAATCAATAAA